CTAAATACAGTTCTAGCCGTATTTGACCACCAAGCACAAAGATCTGACAGTAGCTTTCACAACAGCACTTTGGCTCCGGACGTTTCGCTCAGCAACCCTTGTTCAGAGTAATGAGATTTCTTGTTTATTTTGAAGGGTCAGGGTATTTCCATGGCAGCAGTTTATATACCGTCGGCCTTGCCTCGGCTCACTCTTGCCATGACTTCAGCCTTCATTCCTGCCGCTTATGGACTAAACCTCTCCAGGGTACGGCTTTTTCCACTAGCTAATGGAAAGACTGTCCAGGCATTTCTATTAACGCGCACGCACCTACGCAGACCTGGACGAATGCGACCAAATGTGAGCACATGGCATTTGTGTGACCAAACATTTGCAAGCTAAGATTTAGGGGTAAGGTAATGCACCTTGTTAAAGGAGAACTATGAGGTCAGTGTTTTTGCCCTGGGTTCTCCTAAGGGTAACGGGAGGACACAAACTAGCGTCCTCCCGTCACCCTAGGCTCAGTATACCGCGAGCTACAGCTCCCTATATACTGAGACGCCGCAGCTGAAGCGGATCCCGACAATTGTGCCGGGATCCGCCCAGCTGCGTGATTGACAGCTGGCTCTGCCTATCTAGAGGCAGAGCCAGCTGTACCCGCCCCCTCCCCCATCCATTTTGCCAGTCAGCGCTGGCGGATCGGCGCAGGGAGGGGGGAATCCAGTCCCTCCCCTGTCACGGCAGAGAGCCGTGATAGGATCGAGAGGTGAGTGAACGCCGGTATGTGTTCGCTCACCTCCCGATCTACTGAGCCGACCTGTGACAGTCTCATTGTCACAGGTCGGCTAGAACTATGAGGTGAGTGAAAAGCACCCCCCCTCCCCCCTCATAGATCTCCTTTAAGCTGCGTCCGCTGCGTCCTCCACTCTTCATCAATATTTCCCAATTATGGAGCCGCTGAAGCATCGCCTACCTGGGGCAATCTCATATTCTTTCTTAACCGCTTCACCAGGATTTTTACACTTGGATATGTAATGCACATTTATTGATAAAGACAAGCTACTGTCAGAAAATAAAACAAGCTCTCGTCGCGCGTTTATAGCGGCCAGGGTTTGCCACGCAATTCTTCACTAAGTAGTCTCAGTCCTGCCATATGAAGGTGGCACACTGCCCCTGGCGCACGAAACAAAACCCCTCTGTCTGGATGACCTATTTATTTTTTTACAGAACATTTTCTCACTATACTGGCCCTGCCCTGTCCTCGAAGACATGTAACGTGAAAATACATTCATATGAGATGATTTTATTTCCATTGACGGTGCCACATGCCACACTGTACCTAGCTGGAATTCTGGGGCTTATACATGTACACTCCTTACTATACAATGTCTAACATCTAGACGTCTGCGATTCGTATCGCTCCCAATTGAAATTCGCATGAATTTCTGTAAATCCAAATTTACGAATAACAGAAATAACGAATCCGAATGTTTGATAACGAAATTTGGATGCATACAGCGGTTCTCAACATGTGTAACCTCAGGACCCACATTTGTCCTCGGTCATTAAGTCACGACCCGAGTCGCACTGCAATGGAATACATGGCATTGCAGTACCAGGTTATTGAGAGCAGGCGGTCAGACAGTGAGGGGAGGGGGGGGGGAGGTGCGTTTGGGGTGTCATTCAAATTAATGGCAACGCAATGCACCTTCCACCAGAATGCGCAGTAGGTGCTATTGCATGGTACAGTGTATTATTATTATTATTATTATACAGGGGTTATATGGCGCCAACAGTGTGCGCAGCGCTTTACAATATAAGGAAGACATTACAATCACAATACAATTCAAGACAAGATGTTAAGGAGGCCCCTGCCCCTGAGGGCTTACAATCTGAAAGGGGAGGGGCCATTGATACATGAGGAGGGAGCTGTGTGGGGATGAATTGTTTGAGAACGTGACGGTTCAGTGGTTAGGTTGAGGTGGGATCGGCTTCCCTGAAGAGATGAGTCTTTAGGGATCGCCTAAAGGCATCCAAGGTGGGAGACAGATGGACAGGTTGGGGTAGAGAGTTCCATAGGATGGGAGGGACTGTACAGAAGTCCTGGAGTCGAGCATGGGAGGAGTTGACAAGGGAGCTGGAAAGCAGGAGGTCTTGGGATGAGCGGAGGGGACGGTTAGGGTGATACTTTGAGATGAGGTTGGAGATATAGCCGGGGGCGGAGTTGTCGATGGCTTTGTAAGTGGTTGTTAATATTTTGAATTTTATCCTTTGGGCGAGTGGAAGCCAGTGTAGGGATTGGCAGAGGGGGGCGGGGGATGGAAGCCA